CCTAAGGGAGTTGTGGAACGTTGTAGTGGTATTTTGAAGTGGAAATATTAGATCATCAAAAATGTCATGACACATTTTGCACAGAAAAACATGACTTTTCCAGCAACCCAACAGTAGCAATATTTAGTGAAGAAAGGTCAGAGATGCTAGGTGTCCTGCAAAATAAGAGCGCTCCCAACAGTGAAAACTTGTCCCATGTCATGACTCTTTTTATTTTTTTAATTTTTTGCTATAGGCTGTGTGCACTAATGGGCAGGGGGGGAAGAAAAACTGAGAAAGGATCCCCCAGGGGGGATGGCCATGCTGGCAATCCCTTCTCCACTCTCTTCTTGGGATTTCTGGCACACATGTACACATACCCAGCATATCTTCTAAGCTGCAGGGTCCAAGACTCAAACTAGTTGACCACGTGAGATCCAGTGCTTTAACCACCATGCCACTGGCTAGCTCCTGACTTTCAAATGTCCAACCAGACAGTCACATGGGTAATAAACCTTCCTAGAGCCAATTCAATTTCCCAGACAAAAGTACTAGGATGGTGTCTCAACACACCTAATTGGAACTATAACAATCACATAACTCAGTAACTGCTTTTGCCCAAGAGTTGACTGTTTTGGAAAATCTGATAACCAATGGCAATAAATATCTGAGATGCCCAAACTACACAACTGACTCAGTGTGTGTAAAGATCAGTCACATCCACATGATTTTACAGAAAGGTTAAGCACTCTTCATCGCGTTTACCTCAGCTCTATTTTCTCCACACAGGGCACTTCTCATCATCCAACATACTGTATTTTTTACTTATCTTCTTTACAGACTCCCTTCTCCCACTAAAATGTTAAGTCTATGACTGAGGAAATTTCTGTTTTAGTCACTGCTCTATCCCCAGTGCCCAATATTGTGTCTGATACATGCAAAGGCTTAATAAATATTCACTGGCTTAGTCTGATTACTTTGTATTTTCTACTCTGGTCATGAGCAATACTGAAATAATACCCGAAGTATCTTTAGTTCTCTGTCCTATTACAGTTAGAACATTATATTGATATTTTTGTATTTTGAGTACAGATGGGTTACATGAGCTACAAATATTATGCCAGGATAGTAAAGGATAAATTTTGAAATGCCTAATATATATATATATACAAAGGGGACGATGGGACTCATTTGACCGCTCATGTCACTCACCCACATGAGCTCATCTTTTTTTCTTTTCTTTTTTTTGGGAGAGGTTTTTGCTATAGGGTGCGTGCGCTCGCTCGCCAAACAGACAGAGAGAGACAGAGAGATAGAAAGCGAGAAATCCCCCCCCGGGGGGATAGCCACGCCACAATCCCTTCTCCTCTCGGGATCTTGGGCACGCATGCACACGCACCCAGCGTGAGTTTAAGCCACTGGGTACGGGACGCAAACCGCGGTCACATGGGAGTCCAGCGACACAGCCATTACGCTATTGGTCCCTCATTTTTAACTGAGATCTTGCAAAAACACCACAGTCACAACCCAATTGCCCCCTTGACAACTACCATTAATGGTCCTAAAAACATCTCAAATCTAGTATGGCCAAATGGAAACTGATACTCTTCAGCAATCTCTACCATCCCTGTGGATCTCAGAGAACCTGATGACTATAGAGAGCTAGAGGTCTTCTTTTGGTCTCCCTTTCCCTGGGTCCAACTGTAATCTACCAACAAATCCTCTAGAATCTATCTGTTAAATATATGTGGAATTCATGCACTTCTCCCCTTTACCAAAACCATCACCTTAGCTCAGAGTACCTACTCTTGAAGTGATTACAGACTCTCTTAGCAGTTGTCTCCTTCCGCTCTTTCCCCTTCAATCCATTCTTCACATATGAACAAAACTACTCGTCTTAACTGCTTCCCACTGAATTCAGAATGAGATTCAAACTACTAATCATGATCTATAAGGCCTTGCATGCTTGGCTACTTAACACTCAGTTCACCATCTTCCTTTCATTCACACATCATATATACAACATATATACTTGAACAACATATATATATCAGCTAGAACAGTGACTAGCATGGCATCTCCTATTATCAGACATTCAGTAACTGTTGAAAAAGTAGGAGGGGGAGGCCTACCCATAGTGACACAGGTGGTAGGGTACCACTGCATGCTACTATAGTCACTTGGGAGGCCAAGGTTCAGAGCCTGGGCCAACCTGAGGACGCTGAATGCATGGTACTGGCTGACAAGGAGGCTGGAGGAAGTACTGTGGCATGATGAGGTCCTGTTGGGGTTACCTGTCTGTAAGTCACCCTTAAACCTGCCCCCTCCCTTACTAACAAAATCCTCTTTGTTATCAAGGCCTGACTAAGAATTATGTTATTTATTTATTTAATTAACCATTTTAATTTGACCAGAGAGGGACAAAGGGACAGTGAGAGAAAGTGAGAAAGCAAGTTGCCAGGTCCAGGTCTCAAACTGTGGTCAGCCACATGGGAGTCCAGTGCCCTTAACCACCATGCCACCTGTAGGCCCCAAGGCCTGACCATTTTAACCTAAGAAATATCCCAACTTTTTCTCTTTTTGGGCCAGCGGGTGACATGATGGCTGAAGTACTGGACTCCCACATGGCAGGCCGTGGTTCAAGTCCCAGACCCAGCGGCTTGCTTTTTCACTTTCTTTCTCTCTGGTGACTGCATGTATCCTATAGCAAAATTAAAAAAAAAAAAAAAAAAAAAAGATGATTAATAAAATTAAATAATTGTTTTACTTTTTAAAAAAATCTTTGTCTTTTATTAATTCAGCACTTCGTAATGTTGGACCCACATGGGAGGGTCTCAGGTTCACAAGGCCTCCTGAACACACACGAGACTCGTGCACATGCCAACGATAAGGTTGGCTGAGGCTGGTGGTGAACTGCAGTGTAATGAACCCATAGAAGGTACTTGTCTTTCTGTCTCTCTCTCTCACGGAAGAAAAAATAACCTTTAAAAAAATCCTTCTCTTCCATTTCATTCTCACATAATGCCAGGATAATTTTACCACTTTCTTAACTGATCACCCTGCCTCACCTCTCATCTGTCCAATCCACCAATGACATCACCATATCACCATTCAGGTCATCTTATTTAAAAAAAAAAAAAAAAAAAAGGAAGGAAGAAAAAGAAGAGAAAAGAAAGAAACTAATACTAACTATGAACTTATTTTATTTTTGCTTCAAAAGCTTCCCTGGCTTACCCCTACTTACACAACAAACAAAAAATAGTACAGAAAATGAGGCCTGATGCCAGCATACATTTTCAGCCTCATGAAAAAAACGAGTTTTTTTTTCCCCCCCACACGTCCTTTACTCCAGACATGTCTCAAACTCAGATGGTTCCCTGAACATACCATGCACCCCATTCTGCCCCTTTGCCTTTGATGTCCCCTTTGCCTCGTAAAATCCTGGGTGTTCTTCAAGCCTCAGCTCAAACGTCACTTTCTAAGAAGCCCTCCTAACCTTCAGAGACAGAAGTAGCTTCCATATTCACACATGACATTCATCACGTTATCTGGAGCGACAGTATTAGTGATGATGGAGAGCACAGACTGCCAGGCCATAGGAGTTTACCAGCTAAGTAACCTTAGGCAAATTATTTACCATCGCCAGGCCTCGGTTACACCATTTGTAATATGGAATAATAGCAAAAATCTTACGGAAGAACTGTTGGAAAGGTTATGAATTAAAAACTGGCACAGATCCGGCAATAATGAGACCCAATACATGTTAGCTATTAGTTATTAATATAAGTCGGTGGGTCACTCCCTGAGCTACCTCAAAACTTAATATCATGTTTTGGTTAGGAGTGTATCCCCATTACCTGGCATGTGGCCCAACAGCAGTCAGAATTTTCTCAAATGAAAATGATGCTAGGATTAAGAATTACCACTACAGGAGCCAGCAGGTACCATGGAGGGTAGGGTGCTGAACTCCCACATGGTCAACAGTGGTTCAAGTCCTGGACCTGACAGCTTGCTTTCTCACTTTCCTTCTCTCTCTGTTTCTCCCTCCAGTCAAATAAAAAATAACAATGATGATGAAAAATGAAATTAAGTAGTTCTCTTTAAAAAAAACAGAATTACTATGACAATGTTAGGGGTGGAGAGTGAACTGCAATCATAAGGCAAGAGAACCTTTAGAGAAACATCAAGAATATTTTATTACATTGAGATGAAAATAGGTGGTATATTATCATATATCTATCAACTATAAGCATTAATAGCCCAATGATTACTGGTCTAATGCTCTGGCTCATCACATCAATTTTTATTGCAGTTTTTACTTGGCTTCTTTCAGACTTTGGGTTATTACTTTCCGGGCCCTAGGCCTGTACTAATTTGCATGACTTTTAAACTAATCATTAGATTTAAAAAGCAATTTCGCAATTTAAACCTATGGCACTTAATTGACTTTCTACCTCAAGGCACTAAATTACTCTCAAACAGTTCACCAGACCTACCAGTCCATACAAGCGCAGAGAGTGTTACAGATGTGTTTAGAACTTAACACCGACGATTCAGAAAACATCGTGCTAAAGAGGGAATCTCCTCTCACTGGGGGTACCCCCAAAGGGCAGTATCTACGTTCTTAAATGTGATGTCCACTGGTCTGGTCCCTAAAGAAGAGCGTGCGAGCGCACGCGCACACACGCACGCGGGTGTGTGTGTGTGTGTGTGTGTGTGTCTGCAGGCGCGCAGCCAAGCCTGGGGCTCCCCCCAGGCGGCAGGTGGCCTGCCCTAGGTCCTGACACAGGGTCATCCACATGCAGAGCAGTACGAGCCTCCCCTCGCTGCAGGGTGCGACGAGGACGCCAGCGAACCGCGCACCCATCCAGCGGCGGTCGTCCCTCGTGGGAGGGCTGGACGAGCACCGCACATGCCGGGCAGTCCAAAAGGGAACCGGCTGAGGGGCTGGGGCCAGGTGGGTGGATCCTTGACAAGGCTTGACGCTCCCTGGGTTCGAAGGGGCATGACCTTGCACCAACCTCCACGAAGGCATCAGTCAGGTCACTAGCACGGTCCATCACTGGCAAATGGCGCCCGGCCACGATTTTCACCTTCAGCTTCCCGGGCATCGTCTCGGCTTCGGCCTCTTCTCCAGCTCCTGCAGAAACAAACAAGCAAGTCTGCGCCGAG